AGAACAAAGTTTTCCATTTACAGGAAAGAAAAACAAATGCATATAGGATAATTGACAGCTTTTATTTTCACTCGCCCATTGAACGACTATTTATGGAGCACCTGTAACTGATCACGGAAAGAATTACTCCTCTTCCATCGTATCAAAGTATAGCTGAAAAATTTAACAAGGGAGTGGAAGTCATCAAGCAAACTTGCATCCTCTTCCTAATTTGATCAAAAGGTCCCAGATCCCTTAGTTAGCCATATTATTCTCAGTCCCTTTGTTTTATTCTAGCACCCTGACGGGTGGTGACTAACAAGAGGAAAAATATATTGCATCAGTCCTATGTTAGACAGCCCTGTAAATTTCACACATCTGTTTTAAAAGGATGATTGTTTAGATGCGCTTGCAGCAAGCATTTTGCTTTGGAGAAAGGAGAAAAACTTCAGCACCCACCTGATGAGTGAAGGGCCCATAAATAAAAATGTCATTTCTCCCGTAAGGGAAACTAAATTATGAATTCAGAAATTCATAGTCATCTGTTTTTATTGTTGCCTAATGCTTTTTAGATCTGCACAGGCCCTGCAGAAAATCAGCTCTGAAATTCTGCATAATTAGGATATCTTTCATAGTCCTAAATGCTAATCCCATTGGAGAACAGATTAAGAATTCACAGGCATGATTTTTGGCATCAGGTACCTGCAGTTTCTTTTCTTTTTGAATAATTCATTATTTAAGTACTAAAATGCATATTACATACAGCCCTGCATAGTGTATCAGGGGCAAGGGAGAGGTAAGAGATTAATTTCTCATATATTTCAACACTAAACACATTCAATGCTCATTTATGTTGATTTGGTATCATTGGATTGCAATTGCTGGCAATGTTACAGTTTTAGTTAGTCACCCCAGGGACCAACATAGGGAAATTAAATGGGATCTTCTGTAGGACATTAATAAGGTCAGAGATCTAACTTTTATAGTAGTCAACTGAGTTATTTGCTTTAAGAAAAAAAAAACAGCAAAAGATTCAGGAAGTCATTTTCCATAAACAGTGATGATTATTTGCAGTAAATATGGCTTCGGTTAGTGCTTTCCATTCTCAGCTGTGAATGCTGTCTGACAAAATGGATAAACAGAAAGTAGAAAGTGATGTCCTACAGCTGACTTTTTTCCATGCAGTGCTAACCGGAGGAGTTCAGCAGTAAAGCAGCCATCATTTAAGACTTGATGCCATACCCCTTCTACCACGAAGGTTTCTTAGTGTCCCCACCACGTTGCTGCAGATGCTCTCATAGGAAGCATTCATTGTGCTTTGAGTAACTGCCTGTCAAGGCATCTGTCCCATTGCTGAACAGTGAACTCCCTTTCATCTCTGTGGCACTGGTGCCTTGCACAGTGCCTAGCTCAGAAGTACTTCACTTCTGCTTGTTTAATAAATGAAGAAATTTTCAAAGATTAACACATACTCTGTTGGTTGCAAGTAACAGGAACCTAAATCAAACAGCTTAAGCCTAAAAGGGAGAGTATTGTAAAGATGCTATAGTCTTGTTGAATCCACATGCAGAATGCGGGCCGGGTAGAGCTCAGGGTTCCAGAACTATCCAGATGTTCCCATTTCTGGCCTCTGCCTCTCTCTGTGACAGCTGCTTGCCAGAAGTGCTTGCAGTGTTCCAGCCCACAGCCTCAGCCACCCACTCTTGCTCAGTTCCAGGATAAGGTTCTCCAGAATGGACCCTTTCTGATTGGCCTCATGTAGGCAAGTGCTTCTCCAGGAGTCTTAGCTCAGGCGGCAACAACCAAATACCATAGAATGGGAGGCTTAAATCATGGACATGTATTATCTCACAGTTTTGCAAGTTAGAAATCTGAGATCAGGGTGTCAGCAGGGCTAGGTCCCCATGAGACCTCTCCTTCTGGCTTGCAATCAGCCACCTTCTCGCTGTGTCCCTACATGGCCTCCCCTGTGTGCTCGTGAGGATGCGGTGGGGAAGAGAAAGAGATCTCTGTTCCTCTTCTCATAAGGCCACTGGTGTTATCATGAGGGTCTACCCTCATGACCTAATTTAACCCTAATCATTTTCCAAAGGCCCCATCATCAAGCACCATCACATTAGGAGTTAGGGCTTCTTCATATGAAATTGAGGATACTCAAAATTTAGATCATAACAAATGGCTCTGACTGGCCCTATTTGGGCCAGGTGCCCACCCCTGGGCCAGTCAGTGAGGTCAGAGGCATGGTGTTCTTGTAGGAAAGGCCAGTTTCCATGGGCACCATATGGGCAGTTTTGGGGTAGAGGCAGGGGAAGAGTTCCCAGAAGAGTGGAGCTCTTGGCAAACCAAAAAGCATTCAGTGTCCTTGGCAACATATGTGAATGTGGTGGCCTGGTGGTGCCTGATGCCACCATTCTTTTGTGACCATAAATATGACTGATTTTCTGTCCTTTGGGAAAGAACTAGCTCAGTGTGTGCTTGTGTCTGGCACTTGTTTTTGCTGGCATCTAGCATTAAAAATCTATATTTGTATAGTTTTAAAAACATATAGTTTATAAAACAGTTTCACATACACCAAGACCTAAAGCAATGCTCACTGCTGTCTTCCTTGGGGATGCTACCTTCATTTCCCATTTGAGGAGACCAAGGCTAGCCACCTGCCCCAGTTCTGGGCAGCATTACATGGTAGAGGGAGTCTTAGAGATAGGGTCTCAGGATGGCCAGTGCAGTTCCAGCTTCTCCTTAACAATCTTCCTTCTTTAATATTAAAATGATGTGTCTGGCAGTTTAGAGTCTTTGCCCTTTGGGAGTGATGACAGCTGGTGTCTGTTGAGCAGGTTCCCGATGCCAGGCTCTGTCCCAAGCCCTCTGCTAGTGCCAGCTGCTTCAGTCTCCACAGCAGCCCATCAAAGAAGGCACTACTGTTCTTTTAAATGGACAAAGAAACGGAGGCCAGGGTAGTATACAGTTAGCCCAAGGTTGCAAGGTAAGCACTGTGAACATCAGCAGGAATGGCATCTTCTTACTTGGAGGCTGTGCTTCAGGAGGGCACAGTGGCTGGACTGTGGAGGTTGTGGCCCTGCTGGACATGAGGAGCAACAGATCCAAGGGCAAATGGAAGGACATGAGCTCATTCTTCTGCACATAGCCATCCCTCAGTGACCCAGACAGGAAGGCCTGTCCCAGGGAGGGTGGAGCTGCTCTCTGCTGAGCTATGTGTGCACATAGTCAAGACTGACACACTCTAGAACCCAGGGGTGGCAAAGAAGCTAGTGGTTAAAGGGAGCTTAAGCCAGAAGGGAGAAGGCTTGTTCACCTGCTAGTTTGTCTTAGGGCATAAGTACAAACCCATCTATTTGTCCATCCTGTGCTCTTTCCAGCTCTCTGACCTCTCAGCCAAGGTTCTCTGCCTCTGGGCCTCCATTTTCTCCCCCATAGCATGAGGAATTGGATTTGACAATCCCAAGGCTTCTGTCCAGCCTTATTGGCCACGAATTCTGGAGACCTGCTTAAGGCCACATTACTGCTTCCTCTTGCTGGCTATACTGGCCAGCTAGTCCAGCCACCAGCTGTGGTCAAGGGAGAGAGAAAAATCACCCATGGTCCTAATGATCTGGCTCTGTGGGTGACAAGTGCCCTCACTAGCAGTCAGCCAACCCTCAGCAAACCTCTCCATGCTTGTCTCAGAGCAGCTGATGGCCGGTCCTGCTGGCCTTAATATTGTCCAAGTCCTTTTAGTGTATGTAGTGGTGGAAGAAAAGACTTCATTATTTGTTACCTGCCTTGCAGCATCTGCTGGACAGGAGCAGATAGGCACCAGTAGGAGCTGGTTTAAATGGCATCTTTGACCTTCATAGCCCCCAAATATGCAAGCAGATCACCTCTTCCCTTGATATCCCTGTTCAATTTTAATGTTTTTATTGCTCAAATTTCTTCCTTGGCTTTCTTTATCAAAGTACTTCCAGATCCAAGATGGCGCTCCATGGTGTGGCCCCCTGGGTGGTTTCCAGCCTGACCCTCAGGTTTGAGTCAGCCATGGATGCCATCAGCTGGGTCTTGACATTCTCATTGATGTCCTTGGGAGATCTCCAGGCAGACCTGGGCTGTGTTCTGTTTAAAGAACCATGAATTCCACTTTGCTGTGTGACCTTGAGCCAGCATTTAGTCTCTGTAGGTCTTCTACTTTAACATTCAAATGAGAATGTTAGCCTAAATGATCTCTAAAATCCTTTCTATCTCCTCCTTCTTTTTAATTCCCGTCTTTAAAACTTGTATTGCCTCTGAAGGTGGAAGTTTAGCATTTTAGCCCCCAAGTCCTAGCCCTGCTGAGTGTGACATGCAAACCTTTGACCTACAGCAGGAAGGCTCCTGGTTCGGGGCTGGGACTGCAGCTCTGTTTTCAGAAACGTTATCTGGAGGCCCTTCTTCCTTTAGCTCCTCCCATGGCTTTCGGCATGGGGCAGGGGAGTTAATTATTCCAGCGGGTGTCTCTGCCAAGAGAAAGTCACCTGTAGAGAAGAGTTCTGTGTCTGGACCTGGAACACAGCCATGATGCTGTCATTTGCTTTCTCCTGGCGTACACCCTTGATCCAAGGCTTGCCATTTTCACTTCTAAATTACTAGGTTAATAGAAATGTCATCAAAACATGAAATAAAGTGAGGCATATACCATGGATCTGCATTTCTAAATGATTTGAAATTCAGAATCCGATCATTGTCTTAACCTCCATTATCCTATGTGTAGAGAACACTGCAACATAATTGGGCCGAGAACATGCAACCATACTTTCAAAATGATGCTTAACATGACTCTCTATTCCTTGCTGTTGTTTTCTCGCTGTTTTACTCACCAGATCCTTACAATAACCCTGTGCGTGGCAGATGGGATATTTTCACCCCAGTTTTTCTCCTGGTAAACTGAGGCTCAGGGTGTTGGAGGAACTTCCCATGGTTGGCTCAGGACCAGAGCCCCCTTCTAGGCGAGTGGACTCCACCTCCCAGCCCCCACGTGACACGCTGTTTTTCTGATGCCCTCTTGCAGCCATTGCTGCTTCTGCGCTGGGAGTTCTCTTTTTCCCTTGAATGTGTCTCTTCTCCAGGGCTGAGGACGCTCTTTGTGTCGGTAGGCAGCCTGCACTTGTTCCTTTCAGTCCTGGCCAGTAAAAGCAGGAATTCTAAAAAGCAATGATTATTTCTCCTGGTGCCTTTGTATAGAGCCCTGTAAATAGTTTATTTGGATTTGAGGGGATAGAGACTGACAAACATATTGAATCTCTCAGTAACTTGGCGGATTCTGTGTTCAAAACTTCAATGCAGTGGAAAGAGAAATGCTTCTTTGAAATCAGAGAAGGCTTTGAGTGATCCGAGAGCTCAGGCGTGAGGCTGGAAACAGACCACAACAAGAAGGTTTTTTGTTGGTTTTTTTATGGCACGTAAAGGTTGCCCTTGAGGTTCCCACATCCACATCCTTTACAAATGTGGCTGGGCTATTGAGACAACTAGTTCTGGAGCTGGAAACCACTGGGACAGGTCCGAGCTGGGGCCTTTCCCAAGTCCCTCGTGTCACACTCAATACCTGGGTTAAACAAAGAAAATTGTGTTTGCCAGTCTCGCTAGCTAAAGTCACAAGATTCTGAGTATCATGCAACACTCTGGAATTCCTACAAAAACTCGTCAGCAGGGGTACGCTGCCCGCTACGCAGAAACGGCCGTGCATCGGACTTTCCAGATAAAAACATTTAGTACAGAGCTGAAAAACCATGTGATGGTCATGGATTTTGTGAAGAGTAACTGGTTTCCCTCCCAGAGAAGAGCCAAAGTTTCTATCATCCATATGTGTCAAGGCTTGAAGACGGCTGAGCAGACAGCCAGCAGATATGAGGTACGGCTGAGCCTGGGTGGGTGAGTGGGTACATACTTGACTCAGAGAGAGATGGAGCTGCTGCTCATCAGAGACCGTTGAGGTTTTTTATCTGGTCTAATAAATTAATCATATGTGTCTATAGACTGTCTTAAGGGATTTGGAAAAGCCTTCTTCATTTCTGAATTTGTTTTAGTGTTTAAAATATGGGGGAGGGGGAAAGCATATTGGTTGAAGGTAGTTTATAATGACACATGTCTGCATTTACAAACATTTAATGGTGCTCCAAAGACTGCTGCGTTGGGCAATTTGTATCCATGTTTAGAAACTACAGCATGTTTCTGTGAGTTAAATATTCTTAGCTCTGTATGTTTGCAATCACCTGTCTTTGAAAGCAAATTCCTATTTGTTTCCTGATGTGTTTTGCAGGAGACTATGTATGACATGCCTTTATGGAGTTAAAATAGAATGATTCAACTTAGACCAGTAAGAATGGTCTTTTATTTTTGAAAGAAAGCTCTAATTTTCAAGCAGAGACAACTTTGTTTAAAAAAAAAAAAAAGGAAAACTTTGGAGATTTAAAATGTCAATGTGAGATAAACACATTACTCTGGAACATATTTGTATTCTGCAACTCATATCAGCCACAAGCAGTTATCTTTTCAGAATGTAAGCACGCATGAAATCTGATCGGCTCTTTATTGTACATGGAATAAATTATGAATGACATTGTAATTGACTCCCATATAGCTCATTTACCCAGCTCTTTTGATAGATGTAACATGCAAATTGCTAATGCCTTATGAAAAGGTAACCTTTCTGAATATTGATGCTGTTATTAGGAATGTCTTCCCATGAATGCTGGCAAATATGCTAGGTCTTTTGTTCCCTAGGCTGGGCAGAAGGAAGCCAGCACAATGTGGAAGGAACAGGTTTTGCAAGGCTCAAGGCTGGCTTCTTCCAGTTCCAGCCCTGGGAGTGTGAATTTCCATGTTCACAACAGAGACATAAAAGGCCACAGAAATAATGGCGCTAATTAAATTCAGTAATAGTTGTTCATTGCTTCATTGCCCAATCAGCCAGAGCAAAAGGTGTGCAATTAGAATATAATTGAAAAAAATCAGAGATGTCATTATTCACAAGTAATTAATCAGATGGGGACAGAATTTTATCATTGTATAATTTTCATTGAGGTTGTTTCCCAGTCCTCCAGAGAGAGAAAAACTTGTTGAATTACATTATCATGCATTTCACAAAAGTGTTCATGGCTTCATTTTAAACCCTATGTAGCAAACAGCAGACCTTACATTCTCATTTTCTTCATGTATAAAACTTCACTCATTCCTATAGCCCCGCTGAATAAAACAATGTGGGAAAAGTACATCTTTTTAGGAGGTTATAAAACACTTCAACTATGTGGCAGTCACAGCTACATTTTTTTCAGGGCCCAATCCCCTGCTACTATTGACAGCCGGCAGCTGAGCCACCAGTGTTGAAATGAATGCTAGATCTGAGCTCCCACCCACAATCAATCTGGTGGACTGGATGGGCCTCACTGTGCCCATCAGTCCACAAGTTGTCCAGGAAGGGCGTGCCTCCTTGGCTGAAGGGCAGGCGAAGTTTCAAAACCATCAGATGTGATTTGCACCCCCTGTCCCTCTGAATTTCAAGCTCTGCTCTTGACTTTTGGTAGCAAACATTTCAGATTTTTAAATATTTCACCTCCATTCAGCTATTCTTCATGTGATTCCTATAGGACATCTCAGCAGTATTTAGATTACGAAATTTAGGAAGAAGGAAACTTCCTTGCTCAATTTCCCAAGCTGAACTGATGAGAGACCCCAATTAGCAGCCTCTGGGTTCTGCCTTTGGACTTGGCCCAGTGACTGCTTCTCTTCTACCAGCTCCACAGCCATCGGTTAGCCTGCCCTGGGCTTTGACCATAAAGAACTCAATATGCTGACAAATGAGCGAGGTCTCTGGGATGAACTCTCAATGAACAAAGGGGCTAGATTAAAGAAACTGACTGGTTACCTGGCAAAAGTGAGTTTTGGAGATTTCGTTTCTGTAAAAACCTCACGGATTCCAAGTTCTTCCCATGAGGTCCGGCAAATGTGCTTGCTTTTAGTATAAAACCTACAGACTCAAATTTTTCCAAAACTGTGGGCTTAGTCCTGAGCTTTCTTAATGATTGGAGAAGCCACCTCTCACGTACTGTAACTCCAGCCCATGGATGATCCAGCCCTGTGCAAACCCTTCCTTAGACTTCCTATTGACAGGAATGAGGAGCAGAGCCTGCTGTGCTGAAAGTCACCAGGATTGGAAGCAGGCGGTGGTGAGGCGTGCTGAAGGTCCCAGGTTCATATTTTCAAAACCTTGATTTTTGTGCACTCTAAACATGCCCCAAACTCTGAGAAAGACTGTGTGTTAAGGGCATGTCTCCCACTGCGTATGTTTTTGATAAATTTCAGACATCAATGTAGCCATAACTGGGGGATAGGATGAGCCCATTATTGGACCTCTGTCTTCTGTCCACGTTGCAAGCATGGACACTTTCTGAGACTCCTTATGCAGCAAAGCGTGAATGGTTTTGCCAGCTTGGGAAGGGAAACCTCATAGAATTCAGTGATGTGCTCATATCCTATGGTGTGAATGTAAGTGAGCATCTCCTAATTGACTGTGGAGACCTTTCTGATGGTAGGCGCAGGCTGAGATGCATCAGCCAAGGCTCACCCATCTGTCCTCCGACAGATGACGGCCTCTAGTGCATTTCATCATTAGATGAGCCAGAGAAAGACTTTTTATTTGGAAATCACTATTTGGCCAGGCCTTCCAATATTTTTCAAAACCTCCATCGTCATTTTCATCTCCCTTTTCTATTCATGCTTTTAAAAAATTAGGTTTAGCCAGTAGTGCTGAGTTCTGGCTGGGTGGAATCATAGTGAATTTTTTAAAGAACTGCATATGCCTGTGACGCAGCCATGGCCATTGTGACTCAATGGGCCCAGAGCAGCGTGAAGGCATTGACAATGACAGGGAAGAACGCTCACCAGGCCACTCCTATCACCCCCCATTTCCCTCCTCCTCATGACTGCGCTTTCCTCCACCTTCTTGGGCTGTTTTGAGGTCCTTGTCTGCTCATTTTATCAACATCTGTTAGTTCTGCATTGTTTCTAGTGATCGATTTTCCTCCTGATTACGGGTCATGCTTCTTTGCACACTAGGTAATTTTAAAATTGAATTTTGGATATCGTGAATTTTACATTGTTTGGTGTTTGATTCCACTGAGGTTATTTGAAAACAGCTTGGCCCTTTTAAGGCTTACTTTTTAGATTTGTGTGAGCTTGTCTAAATATCCCTGGGGATGTTTGGTAATGTCTGGAGACAGTGTGGTTGTGACAACCTTGGGGAAAATGCCACTGGTGTCTGATGGGTAGCGGCCAGAGATCCTGCTAATATCCTGCAATGCACAGGACAGTACCACCTTCTACCCCACAGCAAAGAAGGATCTAGCTGAAAATTTCCATGGTGTTGAGGCCAAGAAACCCTGATCTGGGCTAATTTAGTTCCAGTGTTACAACATGACCCTTCCATGACCTTACCTGATGTCTCATGTGTGACAAGGTGTTTGCACCTGGGCTGGGGGGAACCTTAATTGCTTCCAAGTAGGTCCTGAATGGTGTGACCTACTATTTTCTGAAAGTTCTTTTCTTGGTTTCAGGCATTTTTTTCTCGAGCAGGTGCAGATCCGTATTCAGGCAAAGACCTGGGAGGTCCCCTGCAGGCTGCTGGAATTCTCCTTGCAGTTCTCTTCCCAAATTCCAGCTACATTGGCCTCTTGGATTTCTGTCTCTACCTCCTCCATTCAGCAGAGCTCCCAGGCTTGGTTGAGTTTTCTCTCCCAAGCTGTGACCTGGACACTGCCTCCAGGAGGGGACAATTGTAGGGCTCACCTCTCTTGTTTTCCTCCCCTCAGGGGTCACGGCACTGCACTGCCTGTTGCTTGATGTCTGGAAATCATTGTTTCTTAGCTGTTGTCTGGTTACTCTATCGTGGCTGAAGGAGGTCTCTCAGAGTGCTTTCAATGTCCCATCACAGTGTGGAGACTTAGCTCTGGGCTTTGATGAATGTTTTCAAGTGGTTGGAGTACACCGTTAGGTCTTGTAAAATAAAAGCACTCAAGTTTTAAGTACTTGGGCTTCAAGAGAACTTGATTCAGGAAATAAAGAGGTCACCGAGACCAAACAGGAGGTAAAACGAACATTTCCTTTCTTCTCACAGTTACCAAAAGGCTGCAAAACAATTTTCCCTGTTTCCAAACCAAGTTGAAGAGCTTAGCCAGATCAAAGCCTTTGGATTCTCACCTTTCCTCCTGAGGTCCTGGCTCCAAGCAGTGTTTTTGCTGGGTTATGCTTGCAGCTCTTGCTGCAGTGAGAGACCACACCTCTAGCATGAGGAGGGCTGAGAAAAGGCTGCTTTACAAAAGACAGTAAAGACTTCGATGAGCCCTGCACGCCGAGAACAGGCTGGGAGCCCCTGCCTCATCCCTGTCCCTTGCCTGCTGTCTGGAGGGTGCTTGGGAATCCTCCTAGAAGCCTCAGCTCAGCCTCCACTGGCAATGGCTGGTGGCCTCCATTCAAATGCAGGCATGAGAAGCCCAAGAACTGAGCGGGAAATGAAACGGCTGTACTTGGGTCTGATTGCTGCCCTCTCGCCATATTCTTCCAGCCCCCACTGCACCTGCCAACTGGAGCTGCCTGTCAGAGGGCAAAGTCCTAAAGAAGTGAGGATTCAGAGGTCTGGAGTCAGTTTTGTTGCATCAGGAGGCATATTTGGTGAGTGAGGTCTCCAGTCTCACTATGGTGTACAGTATTTAAAGGTCAAATGTGAGTTGACCCAAGTTGCAGCTTAGGCTCATAAGATCTGTCTAACATCATCTTGGCCAATTTCCACCAGGGAATTGGGAACTTGTGGGGAAATGATATCCACATTTCAGCCAAACTGAGGGAGATAAGACATGA